GTCGAGAGACTGAGGCAGGAGGATCCTCTGAGCCCAGGAGTTCGAGACCAGCCTGGGCAGCGCAGGTGAAGATATTAAAAACAGAAGGAGGAGGAGGAGGACGATGAGAAGGAGGAGAAAGAAAAATAACCACAAACAAGCAAACAAGCTGACAATGTCATTTATTTTTATTTATTTATTTATTTATTTATTTATTTATTTATTTGAGACAGGTCTCACTCTGTCACCCAGGCTGGAGTGTGGTGGTGCAATCATAGCTCACTGCAGCCTCAACCTCCCAGGCTCAAGAGATTCTTCCACCTCGCCTCCCTATTATCTGGGACTGCAGGTGTGCACCACCATGCCCAGCTAATTTTTTATTTTTCTGTAGAGATGGGTGTCTGTATGTCACGCAGGCTGGTCTTGAACTCTGAGCTAAAGTGTTCCTACTTCCTTAACCTCCCAAAGAACTGGGATTATAGGAGTGAGCCACCCATGCCAGCCCAGGCTGACCAATTTTTTTTTTTTTTGAGATGGAGTCTTGCTCTGTCGCCCAGGCTGGAGTGCAGTTGTGTGATCTTGGTTCACTGCAAGCTCTGCCTCCTGGTTCACCCCATTTTCCTGCCTCAGTCTCCGAATAGCTGGGACTACAGGTACCATCACCACGCCTGGCTAATTTTTTTTTTTTTTTGGTATTTTAGCAGAGACGGGGCCAAGCTGACCAGTTCTGAAAGTGTTCTCCATCAAGCAGCTCATTTACTTAACGTATCACTTATTCCCACACACACATCCCTCCCAGATCTCTCCATGTCTTTGCAGAACCAGCCTCTTAAGTAAATATTCCACAGTCATATTTACAATGCAAATTTCAAGTAAAATTGCAATGCTTGCAAAAAAAAAAAGAACATGTCAGCTAGGATTCTGTGGATGTCGATGAAAGTGACATTGGAGAACCTCTGGTGGGAGCCAGGGCAAGGCCACCGCAGTGAAAGATCAGGCGCAGTTCACCCTGAAAGAGAAGCTGGCCAAGGAGAAAAGATAGGGGCCTCCCAACGGGGTGGGTTGACCTCAAAGAGAGGCGTTCATGAAGGATGGAGAAGAGAGCTCTGTTGTTTTTGCAATGTGACTCCCTTCAGCATCATTCTGTAATGGTCCAACTGTGAAATGAAGGATGTTGCAGCAGGCAATCCTATGATTTATCAAAAAATTATGCATGTGAAATATCCAACACTCAATTTTCTCTTTGTGATTTCACGGAGAGTTACAACTATGTCCTACATCTGCTAACTATCATTGTGTATCTGTCATTATTAAGGAAGGTTTTGGTTTTCTTTTGCTTTTAACTTCTTAGCCCCCACACCCCAAGGCACAGACAGCGTTGGTGTCTGTTGGTCTATTTCCACATGGACGGCTGCAGCAGGCTTTTCTCTGGTGCCCATTACTGAGTAGGAGGCTATAAATTTTCCACTGATTTGGCTGCATGCAGTAAATCTGGTAGTCCCATTATTTCATTAGGGGTTACAAAATGCTAAGTTTCTAATTCTACAATTTCTTCTTTATTCGTAAACTGGAATACTTCCTCTAATTTTTTGGTTACCATAAGATATAGTTTGTCTATCAGAGACAGAATAAGTGTCTGATTATTTTGCTTTATTTAATCATGTTCAAAATAATGACTTGATTCCTAGAATCCTCTAAAGGCAACTATGTTTTACAGTTTGCATACTGTCTGTATTATTATTTGTGTGTGTGTGTGTGTGTGTGTGTATGATTACTCACTCCTAGTTTAAACATACTTGATGTGTATCAGTCCAGTTAAGAAATTGGTGTTCAGATTGTCCCAGGTCCATCTATAGAGATATAGAGAGTTTCTCCAGGTTTGACTCTTACCCTTTTTTTTTTTTTTTTTTTTTGAGATGAAGTCTTGCTCTTGTTGCTCAGGCTGGAGTGCAATGGTGCCATCTCAGCTCACTGCAATCTTTGCCTCCCAGGTTCAAAAGATTCTCCTGCCTTAGCCGCCCAAGTAGCTGGGATTAGAGTCATGCACCACCACACCTGGCTAATTTTTTGTATTTAGTAGAGACAAGGTTTCACCATGTTGGTCAGGTTGGTCTCGAACTCTTGACCTCAAGTGATCCACTCGCCTCAGCCTCCCAATGTGCTGGGATTACAGGCGTCAGCCACCTTGCCCTGCTGACTCTTTAGTTCTTTTGATATGACTGCTTTAGTCTTAGTTATCATCTCTGCTTTCTGGGATGACAAGATGTTCTAGATTTATCTTGTTCACTTCCAGCCGATTCATCAGAAAAGCCAGGTTCCAAGGAGATACAATAAACAGCATTTGAAGACAACAATTGGTGCTGGGCGTGTTCACTGCTACAGGATGGCTCATTGTTTCTGAGTCTTTCAGTGGAGGAGGAAACTATTTTTATAGTTTCCTATATAAAAATGGATATAATACATCATGGGATGGATAAAATACATCATGATTTCATATCGATATGTCTAATTCAAATTCAGGATGACAAGGTTTTTACTTAACCTCATCAGTTCCACACTAAAAATTCTAGTTCTGATACCAACCTAATTTATGCATTTGCTTTTTCCATACAACATTCACAGCAGGATATCAACCACACTCCCACTGCCACCATGACTTCTAAAAACAGCTTAGGAATTTTATTTTAGTGTTCTTTCTATGCTTAGGACATATCCCACCAATAAATTGCTGTGTTTCCAAATAACTTGAAATAAATAATTCAACTCTATTAATATTGTCTCTTTTTTTTTTTTTTTAGATAGAATCTTGCTCTATTGCCTGGCTGGAGTGCAATGGTGCAAGGTTCACTGCAACCTCCACCTCCTGAGTTCAAGCGATTCTCCTGCCTCAGTCTCCTGGGTAGCTAGGATTACAGGCCCACACCACCACACCCGGCTAATTTTTGTATTTTTAGCAGAGACGGGGTTTCACAATGTTGGCTAGGCTGGTCTCAAACTCCTGACCTCAGGTGATCTGCCCCCCCGGCCTCCCAAAGTGCTGGGATTACAGGTGTGAGCCACCGCGCCCGACCCTCACCCAACCCCCTGTAGTTTTCAGCAGCCTCTTCTGCTTCTGTGGCCCTGGTCTGAGGAACAGTCCTGTCTCCATCAGATCCATAGCTGGAAAGACCTGGGGAGAGAGGGGTTCTGAGAAAAGAGGGGTCAGCCGGGAAGGAGACGAGAGGCAGGGGAGACAGCCAGCCCCATCCTAGCACCTTCCACCGACATCACCATCAGACCCAAGCAGTCCGAAATACAACAAGAACAAGAAAACCGTAGCCATAGCCAGAGTAATGACGCCGAACAACAGAGAAATCAGCAAGGTATGTGTTTCAGTTTGTCAGCACGGTATTTTTATTAGTTTCCATTTAAGATAAAGCAGAGCTTTGGACATGCAAAGCCACTCCAAGGAAGCCTCTTAAACGCACACCTTGTTGCAGGTGGGATGCTCATGGCCAGCTGCTCTAGCTGGAAAAGACAGGACTACAAGTGGATTCAGGAGCTCAGGCCTCTGAATAGATGAGCAAAGGCAAGGCTAGCGGGTGAGGGGTGATTCAGCCTAGTTGCAGGTGACTTGGGAAGAGAATTTGTTAGTAGAGACAATGGACATTAATTAGGGTCAACTCTCCTTAGGAAAAGGCAGCCAGATATGGCTTCATTCTATAGCGGGGAATGGACTCTGAGCAGTGGTTTGAGGCTCAACAGTGAAGCACAAGTCACAGCTTTGGAAGACAGGATTAGCAGGACTCACATGAGGCCTGAGTCCAGAGCCTCAGATCTTGCACTGGCAGCACACGGGGACACAGCAGCTAGACTGGGAACAGCAGGGCTTGCAGCAGGTGGACTGGCAGCAGGATGACCCACAGCCTGAGGAGCAGTAACAGGGCTTGCAGCAACTGGACTGACAGCAGCAGGGCTTGCAGCAGCTGGACTGACAGCAGCAGGGTTTGCAGCAGCTGGACTGACAGCAGGATGACCCAGAGCCTGAGGAACAGTAGCAGGGTTTGCAGCAACTGGACTGGCAGCAGGATGACCCACAGCCTGAGGAGGAGCAGCAGGGTTTACAGCAGCTGCACTGGGAGCAGGCAGAAGGGCCACAGACCCCTTTGGAGCCCCCACAGGAGCCACAGCCCCCCTTGGAACCTCCACAAGAGCCACGGCCCCCCTTGGAGCCCCCACAGGAGCCACAGCCCCCCTTGGAGCCTCCACAGGAGCCACAGCCCCCCTTGGAACCTCCACAAGAGCCACAGCCCCCCTTGGAACCCCCACAGGAGCCACAGCTCCCCTTGGAGCCTCCACAGGAGCCACAGCTGGAGCAAGAACAGGCTGGCACACAGCAGCACACGGGCTTGCAGCAGCAGACGGGCACACAGCAGCTGGAGCCACAGCCCCCACAGCCAGAGCCACAGCCCCCACAGCCAGAGCCACAGCCCCCACAACTGGAACCACAGCCCCCACAACTGGAGCCACAGCCCCCACAGCCGGAGCCGCAGCCTCCAGAGCAGCCACAGCAGCCCATGGTTCTGGTGGATTGAGGGTGGAGCAGGTAGAGGAGCAGGTGAGAGGGAGGTGTGCAGGTGTGTAGCTCCCCGAGCCCAGGTTCTTTATACTCCTGCCCAGGGTCAGGTGAGAGGCTGGGCACACGGTCACTTCCTGGTTCCTGCTTGTGCCACTGGTCCCGGTATTCTCTTGTGCTTTGCATTTTTATAAATAACTCCTGTTTTCCTCGCACTGTTCTCGAATGTGCTGTCAGGTCTGCGATGGAAGCTGCCCTTTAGTAAACACTAGCAAGTGTCCCGCGGTGAGTTCCCCTTTCCATGTGACCAGAAGGAAGCGATGAGCAGGCAGTGACTCGCTCAGAGGCCTTGGTCTTGCTGAGGGTGATTTTGAGCCCAGGGCTCCTGGCTTGCTCCCGGGAAGATTCCTCTGCTGGAGCCACGCGTCTTGCTTGGGACATGCCTGGGCCTTACACCTTCACGGTCCACAGCAGCTCCTGGCCCGCGGGCTGTTTCCAAAGGTCCCAGGACACGGGGCTTCAGCCCTCAGCTCGGCAGGGTCCTTTTCGGTGTAAGACTTTGTTGGAAGGTTTGGAGTGTTGACTGGGACGGGGATTTTAAGTGCTTATTCTGGAGCTTGCTGCGTGCTCCCCATGGAAAATGTGCTCCTGTGACAACCGGGGTTTCTTCCAGGCCTTTCGGACCACCAGGGTGGCAGGGTTGACAGACAAAGCAAGGATGCCTGCTGGAACTTGAATTTCAAATAATCGAAGGCTGCCTTTTGAGGAAGCAAATCCAAGCATTCCAAGGTGCAGACACTTCTCTGCGCTGGGTCAGGACCCAGATCTCATCGCCTCCTGCAGCTGTTCCTCCTGCCGCCGCACGGTGTCGCTGTGGAGCAGGTTCCGCCCCAGCCTGGCCGGCCCAGGGGCTCCCGCACAGCTGCACCTGCGGACGGCAGAGGCCCTTCCAGGGACCGTGCACGGAGGAGGATGCCCTGCCCGGGTGCCCGCCTGCTCCGGGTCCCGGGCTCAGCCTGGGAAGCAGCAACTACATTCGGGTGCAGGCCCACTGGATGCTAAAGAAGGCCGTGGAGAGCAGGGAACCCGATGGCCATTTGCCCCCGTGACCACAATACCTGTGAGTGCCCCGAGCCCAGTCAACGGGCCCCAGGCCACGGTGTAGACACCGGCTGGCACTCGGTGACTCTTCCCGCGTGTGCTGGAGCCCCACTCTGTTCTGGAGTAGGGGACTGTATCTCAGCGAGGAACAGAAAACCCATTAGGGGAGAGCCGCCTTGTGTTGGCTGTTCCTGCAGGAGGCGGCATCCTCCAGGTCTGGAACAGAGGAAACAGATACATTTGCTTCCTGATACATTTGCATCCAGCGCCCGATACATTTGCATCCAGCGCCAGATACATTTTCTTCCAGCGCCCGATACATTCGCGTCCAGCGCCCGATACGTTTGTTCCAGTGCCCGATACGTTTGTTCCAGTGCCCGATACATTTGCTTCCAGTACCTAATCCATTCGCCTCCAGTCCCCGAAGTGACGTATCAACACCTGTGCGGACTCCTAGTGACACCCTTGGGTCAGCTCCTTCCCTTGGGTACAAGAGGACTTTTTCTTTTTTTTGCTTTGGGGACATCTTCCCTTTCATGGGCCTTTGTTCTTCGTGGTCCATGGATGACCTTCAGGTTCGCTGAGTTGGGCCAAGAGGGTCCTCAGAGGACGTCCTAGGAGGCTCTGATGGAACAATCCACGTGGAAGTGGTGTCCACCCTGTCCGGTGGGGAACCCCACGAATATGTAGCTTTTGAGAAAATGCCCCTGAAATGTGTGTGTTATATAAGGTGCATACGCTCCTGTCTAGTCATTTGCTATTTTAATCTTAGTTAATTTTATTTTTTTCACCTTTTCAGCTTAAAACAGTCATGAATATGAGTAGTCTTTTCTCCCATGTTCCACATTTGGAATTATCTGCAGACCCCTTCTTAACTACTTTGGGTTCATAGACTCTTCTGTGGATTTTTACAGAGCTTCTCCTTAAGCAAGTCTACAAACGTGCACAAAAACACAGAACTTTACATAAAACTGTGCAGTATCTAGACAGGACCTGATGTCCACCTGTATCTGTAGGTTTCAGATCAAGAACCCAACAGAAGAGGGGGCACCAAGTAAGAGAGAGCTGGAAGGATTTCTCCTTCCAAAACGGGCTAGGCTGACCCCACAGATTTTTACTCCTCCACCATCTGAAACCACACTCAGATGAGAGGAAGGCTCAGGGGCGGTTTTTCCTGAGATGGTAAAGTGCTGGCTGATGCCGTGCAGCAGGGGGGCTCCAGCAGAAGGACTTGCAGAAGAAGCGACAAGGAGAAGGCCAGCAGCAAAGTGCGTTTCTCGTGACAAAGATGGCAGACAGCATGATGGTGCAGGGCTTGGAGGCTAGGACATGAAGGGTAGTACAACACCTCTCTCTGTCTCTCTCTCTCTCTCTCAGTACTACTCTTTCTGAGTGAAGTCAGATGCTGTGCCAATAGCAGCCCCATGGAGAGTCCTGCAGGTGAGAAGCTGAGGCCTCCCACCCACAAGCCAAGGCATGTACCATGCTGGAAGTGGGTCAACACCAGCCGAGCCTTCAGGGGATGCAGCCCCAGACCCCCAGCCAGAACCACCCAGCAACATTTGGAGCTTGACAGAGAAGAATGAAAAGATCTTGTGAAGGTGCTCACATCTGCAATCCCAGCATTTTGGGAGGCTGAGGTGGGAGGATCACTTGAGCCCAGGAGTTTGAGACCAGTCTGGGTAACGTAGTGATACCTCATCTCTACAAAAACATACAAAAATTAGCTGGGTGTGTGAGCGCACACGTGTAGTTCTAGCTACTCGGGAGGCTGAGGTGGGAGGATTTCTTGAGCCCAGGAGGTCGAGGCTGCAGGGAGCTATGACTGCACCACTGCACTGTAGACTGGGTGACAGACTGAGACTCTGTCTCTCACACACACACAAAAAAAAAAAAAAAAAGAAAAAAAAAAAGAAAGAAAGAAAAGAAAAGAAAAAGGTAAGGCCAGTAAAACAAAAGAATTTTTAACTTCATTTCATTATTAACAAATGCACACAATTTCTGAATCAAATAGAAGACTCCAATATGATTATTTAAAAATAGCAAGTCATAAGTAGGGTTTGTTCCACGAATGTTAAGATGGCTCACCGTCAGGAAATGTACCATTTTGTACTCATTACAAAAGTGCCTTGAGGGAGAGAAGGATTCACACGTTCACCTCAGCAGGTGTAACGATTAGCTATGGCGTGCCTGACCATGAGCTGAGGGACAGAAGTGTCTTTTTCAACTTGATAAATTCCGGATGGAAGTATGAGGCTCTCCTGAAGGTAAACGTTCTGTGTCTAAAGAAGAAATGACGGGTAGGATGCTCATGACTGGCTGGGGGTACAGGAAGAAGGCGGATCAGAAGCACTGGATAGCACTCAGGTCGGCGCAGGAGACGCTAGTCTGAGGGGATCACCTGCCTCTGTGCGGGGCCAGTGGAAGATGGTGGCTGATCTCAGACTGTGTTAAACATGCATGTTAAAATTTTCACAGTCACCACTGGGGAAAAGTAGAAATAAAAACATCAGTGCAAAGCAGTAGAAAAAGAGGAGAAAGGAAGAAAGAATCTTCTTCAAGTCCATAGAAGCAAGAAAAGAGAATTTTAAAAGCCTATGAAAAGGAAAAAGTAAAAATAAGAAAAGCACGGAAACAGTAGCACCCGTGAGATGGTAGAGATGGTGCTGACCCACGGGCGTGATGAGGGGCCAGGATCGATGCCCACCAGGGAGGCCAGCAGCCCAGCAATGCCAATGCAGGACCGTTTACAAGAGCACTTGAGGGCAGCAACCCGCACTCTCTTTTGGCACCAGGGACCGGTTTTGTAGAAGGCAATTTTTCCACGGACCCAGGGGGGTGGTTGGGGGCTGGATTCAGGATGAAACTCTTCCATCTCAGATCGTCAGGGATTAGATTCTTGTAAGGAACACGCACCCTAGATCCCTCGTGCGCACCGTTCACAGTAGGATTCTCGCTCCTATGACAATCTAATGTGGCGGCTGAAGGGATGGGAGGCCATGCTCGCTCGCCTTCCACTCACCTCCTTCTGTGCGGCCTGGTTCCTAACAGGCCATGGTCTGCGGCCTGGGGGTTGAGGACCCCTGTCCTAGGACACTGGGTCCTCCTTGGCTGTAGCCCCCACCCACCTGGAGGCTGTGGAAAGGGCCCGAGTAGGTGGAGAGCAGAGATGTCATCAGGCTCGTTTTTCTCTCTGGGAATGCAGCTGGGCTCTGCTGCAATAACCATCGCCCGTGTAGTTAATTGGTCAGTATTGGTCTTCATTCTATTGCCCTCAGCGCTTCTTGCCTTGCCTGTCCCTGCCTCACTTCTTTAATTGGAATAAATCCCAATTGTGTAGGGTCCATGTGACTTTCCCCAGAGTCCCAGGTGCTGTCATCTTAGATTTCTGACATTTGGAAGGCTGTCTTCCTGTTTTCTTCTACTTGGAGGATGTTTTGTCTCCATATTCTTGGGTCATGTTTGGTTTTGTCTACTTTTTGGAGAAATTGATCCCCTATCTTTGGGTTTATGACCTCTCTGAGGAGCATCTAGGAGCAGCTCGCTATGAGCACCCTCAGCCCAGACAGCCACGGCGGACTGGCCGGTGATTTGCAGAAGCGGCAACGTTGATTCAGCCTTTGGAGTTCCGTCACCAAACCGCCAGGGGCTCGGTCTTCAGCGTTCTGCATTCATTCTTTCCCGGAGCATGCTATCTGCTCTTTGGGGCTAAACTTTCAGATCTTCCTGCGGGTCATGGCGCATTTCTTTGACTTTTGAATCTGTTTTCTGCTCCGTTTGTTAAAGGCTCTGCTACTTACACCGATGCTGTGGCTTTCCTGTCCTCCTCGTCTGCCAACCTCTCTCTGGTGATTCCACGGCTTTGTGCTTTAGCCACACTGTGAGTATCTCGCATCTTTCTTGGATGTCATCGATCCAAGTCCCAGCCACCTCCGTTCCGCTCCTCACTCTTCCTAACCACCAACTCGAACCGTAATGACCTCCCTCTGGTGCTCATTTATTTCCCAAGGCCTCCACTCTTCCTTTTAAAACTTACTCTATAGGCCAGATGCGGAGGCTCACGCCTGTAATCCCAACACTTTGGGAGGCCGAGGCAGGCAGATCCCTTGAGGTCAGGAGTTTGAGGCCAGTCTGGCCAACATGGTGAAATCCCGTCTCTACTAAAAATACAAAAATTAGTGGGGTGTGGTGGCGGGCGCCTGTAATCCCAACTACTTGGGAGGCTGAAGCAGGAGAATCCGTTGAACCTGGGAGGCAGAGTTTGCAGTGAGCCGAGATCACATCGTTGCTCTCCAGCCTGGGCGAAAGAGCAAAGCTCCGTCTCAAAAAATAAACAAATAAACAAAATAAAACTTACTCTCTATTTTTACCATCTCAACTGAGAGCCCTTTTAAAGTTACTATGCCATATTTGTAATTTGCTGCCATATTTGTTATTATTTGCTGCATGCCTCAACAATTTGCAGGAAATCTACTTTTGTCTCCTGAATGACGAGTTCACTTAGAAAGGTTTTTTTTTTTTTTTTTTTTTTTTTTTGAGACGGAGTCTCGCTGTGCCTCCCAGGCTGGAGTGCAGTGGCGTGATCTCGGCTCACTGCAAGCTCCGCCTCCCGGGTTCACGCCATTCTCCCGCCTCAGCCTCCCAAGTAGCTGAGACTACAGGCGCCCGCCACCACGCCCGGCTAGTTTTTTGTATTTTTAGTAGAGACGGGGTTTCACCATGTTAGCCAGGACAGTCTCGATCTCCTGACCTCGTGATCCACCCGCCTCGGCCTCCCAAAGTGCTGGGATTACAGGCGCCCGGCCAGAAAGGTTTGTTTCCTTCCTTTCCTCCTCCTTTTGTTTTTTAAGGTTTGTTTTCGTAGCTGTTACAGAATCTCACGTTACCTCTCTCGGGTTTGGCCAATCCTGTCTAGATCTTCTGCCTATGTTGAACCGAAAGGATGCTCCTGGTTCCCTTCCCCCAGCACCTGAGGGCAGAGCTGCCAAGCTCTGGCGAGCACCTGGGGTGCGTGACGGTCTGCTCACGTCCAGTGCGGCCTCGGGCAGGGTTGGTGGGGGACGGATTTGTTAGGATGCCTGGGCTCTGTGCTCACGATCCAGGTCTTATGAAATGTCCCCACCCCAGCCTCACCGCGTCCCGTCGGGAGGAGTGAACTGTTGCCACACAGGGCTGCATCCTCTACTCAGTGTGTTCCCTTGGAAGACGTATTTTCAGCACAGTGGGCACTTCCCTCTCTGTGGGTTTCTCTCAGTCCCCTGCCCCCCTGGCCCCCATTAGCAATGGGAACTATGGAGCCTATAACCCTCTCTCTCACCTCTTCCAGACAAGACAAGACCTTTCACCCAAAGCTTGAAAGATATTCATTTTTACCATCTAATAATGTTGGCGAGGCAGAAAATAAAATGACAAGACAAAGTGAGAATAGTGTTTAAAAACTAGTCGGAAATTAAACTCAAGTACACACCTGTGAAAAAACAAAGTGCACTGTTTGGACACGAGGGATTCGTTCTCTCAATATCCAAATAACTTTTGAAGCAGTAATAGAAGTCAAAAAACTATATAATTTATATTGGAGTAAAAGAATCACCCTCAGTAATAGTTAATTGAAGAGATTAACAACAGGGTGATAAATGAGATTCTCCATCCTCCCATGAAATTCCTGAAGATTTTTAACATGAACGATACTCACCATGTGAGGCTGTGTACGCAGCAGCCAGGAGTCCTGAGTGCCCCATGACCTGAGGCTGGTGGAGGAGAAGCTGAATGCCGTGCACCCACGTGTTAAGTCAGAACCAGGACACAACATTTGTTCCTCAATTTGCCTCTTTAATTATATGGATGAAAGCTTAGTTTTTAAAAATTTCTCTTTACACAGAGATCACAGTCTCAAAGAAAAATGTGGTGCCATTGGTGGGAAGAAAACAACCAAAATGATCTTCGTAGAACACCTGTTCTCTGCCGGTCACGTGAGGAAAACAGAAGGCAGGTGATCAGGTTCAGTACAAGGTCCAGTTCCAAGGAGGAAGTGGCTACATTTAGAAAGGTAAGCAGGTGGGTGTTGGATCAGGCCAATGAGAACCCAAAGTCCAGCAAACAGATAATCACATACCCAGGAAGTGCTGGCAATGATGGAGTGACTGAGGTCTCAGAGCGACCCTACCCAGGGATATAAGGGGCCCAGGCTCAGGGAGCTCCACACCTGCACCTCCCTCTCACCTGTTCCTCTACCTGCTCCATCCTCAATCCACCAGAACCATGGGCTGCTGTGGCTGCTCTGGAGGTTGTGGCTCTGGCTGTGGGGACTGTGGCTCCAGCTGTGGGGGCTGTGGCTCCAGCTGTGGGGGCTGTGGCTCCAGCCGCTGTGTGCCCGTCTGATGCTGCAAGCCCGTGTGCTGCTGTGTGCCAGCCTGTTCCTGCTCCAGCTGTGGCTCCTGTGGGGGCTCCAAGGGAGGCTGTGGCTCCTGTGGGGGCTCCAAGGGGGGCTGTGTTTCTTGTGGCTGCTCCCAGTCCAGCTGCTGCAAGCCCTGCTGCTCCTCAGGCTGTGGGTCATCCTGCTGCCAGTCCACCTGCTGCAAACCCTGCTGCTCCCAGTCCACCTGCTGCAAGCCCTGTTGCTGCCAGTCCAGCTTCTGTGTCCCCGTGTGCTGCCAGTGTAAGATCTGAGGCTCTGGCTGCAGACCGTAGGTGGCCTGACTGGCGAAGCGTCCAGCTGCTCAGCTTCCTTGCTCTGGGTTCTCTGGTGCTCCACTGTCACCACTGTGTCCTCACTGGCTTCATCCACTCCACACCAGCGCTCCCGAAACTGACTGGGGACCCCTTCTGGCTCACTGCCTGTTACTTCTCCTGAACTTCATCTCCCTGTTCCACACTCATTTAAGATCCAAAGCGGCCCACTGAGGCCCCAGAGGCAGCTCAGACCCCTTAGACCCTGACAGCTGCCCCTTTTTTCAGGAGTGTGATCCACCCTTAATCTCTCTGGCTATCTGTATGTCAAGACTGAATCCTGACCCTCTAAATAAACAAAGTCTCGAGGCACGAAGCTCAATCTCTTGTGGCTCTCTCCTTCCCACCTCTCTCTAATTCCCAGAAGCACCATCTTCCTGCCCCCACCCCTGGGACAGTTCCCATTTCTCTCCCCTCAGCATCTTTCATGCCGTGTCCATGTCTTCATGCACAGAACTAACGTCTATAGCTTTCTGCTCTGGGCCCCTTGTTGTGTTGGGCTCTGGAGATGACAGAGCAGAGTAAACCCAAGCTCACAATCTGGTACGTGGGGAGAGGCGGGGAGAGGGACAGGTGGTGAGGGCGGTGGTGTCAGCCACAGAGGCACCGCCGTGCTGTGGGAGGGAGGGAAGCTCAGGGCCAGGCCACTTCAGTGGAAGGATGAGGAATGGTCTGTATGCTGAGCTGTGTGGCACATCAGGCCCTAAGAAGCCCCTAGTGCATGCAGGAGCTAGACCTGGAGATGTGGAGGAACTTGGGCTTATCTGCAATGTCACGGGGCCTTGAAAAACCAGACATGGGAAGGCAATGACTGCACACGATGCTCAGCTGCTGGACACAAGCTCAAAGACAGCCAGGAGTTGAATAGATCCCTCCAAAAAAAATTCCATTTGGGGGAGCCCAAATGCTCAGTGCCTTCTAAGGCAACCTTGTCTGGAGACAAGCTTTCTTTCAGCTTTTACTTGGGGTTCAGGGCTGCATGTGCAGGCTTGCCATATAGATGAATTGCACGTCACGGGGTTTGGTGTGTAGATTATTTCATTAACCAGGTAAGAAGCATAGTATCCAATAGGTAGCTTTTTGATCCTCTCCCTCCTCCTGCCCCCACCCCACCCCACCCGCGCCGCCAAGTGCACCACAGTGCTGTCCCTCCCTTGTGTTCCTGTGTACTCCGTGTTCAGGTCTGACTTATAAGTGGGAACATGCGACATTTGGCTTTCTGTTCCTGCATTAGTTTGCTAAGGATAATGACCTGCAGCTCCATCCATGTCCCTACAAAGGACATGACCTCATTCTTTTTGATGGCTGCATAGTATTCCATGGTGTATATGTACCACATTTTCTTTATCCAGTCTGTCATTGATGGACATTAGGACGTTACGTGAAGATGAAGGCAGAGGTTGGGGTGATGCTTCTGTAAGTCACAGAGGACCAAGGGTTGCCAGCAAGACCCAGAAGCTGGAAGAGACCAGAGCAGAGGCTCCGTCACAGCCCCAGAAGGAACCAGCCCTGGCCACCCCTGCATCTCGGACTTCTGTCCCCCAGGATTGGGAGAGGGACGTTCTTGTCATTTGTGGTCCTTTGTTAGGGCTGCCCCAGGAAGCAAGTACAAGCAGTGGTTCAGTCAGAGCAGGTAAAGCAGCCATTCGGGGTATTTTCAGTCAGGCGGATCCAGAGTGGAAATCAGAAGCTTATGTTCTTGAGGGCAGCTCTGGGGGCTGGACCTCCTGGAAGGACTCCAGCCATCCACAGCACTGGCCCCGGGAGACCTCAGGCTTCCAAGCTGTCCTGGAATCCTGAGCTCCAGCGCACCTGCCATGTGGTCCAGGGACAGGGAGCCACCTCAGGGCATCCACAGGCTGGTGACAGCACTGGGGTGTGCATCTACCCAGGCCTTTTGCCGGGGAAGCAGGTGACCAGCTGCAGCTGAAGCTGCAGGCGCCGAGCTCGCCCTGGTGCACAGCAACACGTGAGCCCCGGCGCGGGCCTCTGCCTGCCTTCCCTTCCAGACTAGGGGAAAGGCATTCGATTGGCAGGACCTCATTCTTACCCTGGACTTGGAATGGTCATTTTTATCTTCTAGCTCCTGCAGTGTAGACAGAACCGGAGGAGGGGGTGGACACTCTGTGGGTGGGGCTTGCCTACTTTCTGCCTTTTTCCCCCTTCAGTCATCCCCCTACCAAGGCTTCTGTAGCCCTGTTTCGGAAGCCCTGGTACTGTACCCAGAAAGGGTGTCCAGGATCTTGGCGTCTCGAACAAAGAGTTGGACAAAACGCACAAACAAAGTGAGGAGAGCAAAAGCAGGGATTTATTGAGAATTAAAGTGCACTCCACAGTGTGGCAGCGGCTGAGCGTAGGGGCTCAAGGATCCCGTCATAGAGTTTTTGTGAGTTCAGATACCCTCTACTGGGGGTCCGCCCTATGTAAATGAAGAGAATGAGTTATAAAGTCGTTTGCTGGGTTTGTGCCCGTGGAGAGGACATGTCCTGTCATAGCTGAAGTGTGAATCCGCCTTATGTTCCCTGCCTCCAGACCGTATTTTCCTGCCTCAGCCCCAGGGCCTGCTTCACCGGCAGGTAGCTCCCGCAGACACACAGGGCCCCAGACTTGGAAGGCTTCATGCCTTGCTGTCACTGTCTTGAAATCCTTGGCCGGGCGCGGGGGCTCACGCCTGTAATCCCAGCACTTTGGGAGGCCGAGACGGGTGAATTGATAGAGCTCAGGAGTTTGAAACCAGCCTGGGCAACATGGTGAAACCCTGTCTCTACTAAAATACAAAAAAAAAAAAATATTAGCCAGGCGAGGTGGCGTGCACCTGTAGTCCCAGCTACTCGGGAGGCTGAGGCAGGAGAATGGCGTGAACCCGGGAGGCGGAGCTTGCAGTGAGCCGAGATCCCACCTCTCTCCCTCCCCAGGGTCCAGCTCCTTGGACCCCTCCCGTGTCCTCACCTGAGCTCACCACATTCTCACCCCCGACTCTGGGCTTGGCAAATCAGACCCAGCATCGGATTTGCACAATGATGCATCGTGGCAATGAAGGGTTGACATCAAGAATGCAAATGTACCTGATATTGTAAATAATACCAGACATAAATGAGGCTGCATGTGGTGGCTCACACTTGTAATCCCAGCACTTTGGGAGGCTGAGGCAGGTGGATCACCTGAAGTCAGGGGTTCAAGACCAGCCTGGCCAACATGGCAAAACCCCGTCTCTACTAAAAATACATGGTGGCGGGCACCTGTAATCCCAGCTATTCGGCAGGCTGAGGCAGGAGAATCGCTTGAACCTGGGAGGCAGAAGTTGCAATGAGCTCAGATCAGGCCACTGCACTCTAGCTTGGGCATCTCAAGAAAAACAACGACAATGAAAAAACCAAACCAACAAATAAAAGACTCACTGAAGTAATGATAGATACGGGGAAAACATCATCTGTTTTCTCCATGTTGCTGAAAAGGTATTAATAAACCATCAGCGCCTGATACAGTAACAATAGAACAGCAACAGACGGAGAAGTCCTTCATACGGTATAAACACAGGCACACCCATAGTTAGGTTTTCCTGCAAACGTGCACGTTCATATCTAAAGCAAAACCGTATCTCTACTCAGCACCATGCCAGGAGCGGAAGGCGCCTGCTCTCTAAGACAATGGTTTTACAGTAATGATTGCAGCCTCCACCCGGAGCGCTTCAGGGGCCTGAGCTAGGGGCTGTGCTGAGGAAGGGGCTCCGGTCACCTGCGGCGTCTCCCTCACTCCTCCAAACCCCCCAGTCTCCTCCAGCTAGGCCTCCCCCTCGGACCCCAAGCTTGCTTGAACCAAAAGGTTCGACCTCTGCCCCTTCCTAAGGCTCATTCCTGAGCTGGGAAGACAGAGATCAGGAAATTCCTTGCAGAAAAGGAAAAATCAGTCATTACCTTGTGTGTTGTGTGTGTGAGGCTCTCCCAGACCGTGGAGGCAGGACCTTTCGTTCCCTCGATTTGAAAGGCATTAAACGCAGATTCTCTGGGTGTCCAGACTTTTTTACACATGGAAGAATGCATAAGGGTGTAAAGTGTAGCTTGCACCCCAATACAGTTTTGGCTACTTGGGTTTGGGCCATCTCAATCAGAGCTTGCACACTGCTCCTCATTTCCTTCTTTCTCCTAAGCTGGGGGTCACCAGGCTTCAACCGTGGTTATTGTCCCAGTGTGAACCCCACACGCCTGCACAGCTGCAACCATTTTCTTTGTCCTTAAACACAAACGTTTATGTTCACCAGTGCCCATGTAAACTAGCAGCTCCCTCTTTCCGTCTCCTTGTTTGCGTTCCTTCGCTGGACCTGTCACCTCACAGACGCCCTTCACTGTATCCATCCCTCCCCAGAAGGTTGGAGCCCTGAGAACAGGTGTCCCTGGTTGTGGTCATTGTTCTACCCTCTGGTTCAATGACAGTGCCGGGCACACAGTGCACACACAGTAAATATTTGCCAAATGCGTGCAGGGCTCCAAGCGAGCCTGAGCAGCTCTGGGCAGAGGGGCTGAGAGTCTCAGGGTTCCCTCCTGGGTTTCAGGGATGAGCCAGGTCTGGGAAGGCAGGAAGCTGGCTTGACTCAGCAGGGCCGCCAGGGGACTCTGTGGTAAGGCGGCGGGAGAGCCACAGGCCCAAGGTGGCAGCTTCTGGAGCCCAAAGTTGGCCCAAGGCTCCTGCTGCCTGGCAAACTCCAACCACAGATGCAGGCGACAGCCCTGGTATCCCAGTCTCCAAAGATTGAGTGGCTG